GAACAAGATTGGCTTCAAAGATCTTTTTCTGAAGAAGAGGTGTTGAATGTAATCAAGCAATGTGATGGAGACAAAGCCCCGGGCCCAGTTTGACAATGAGTTTCTTCAAAGTGTTGGGACACTGTGAAGGAGGATCTACTGGAACTGTTCATAACTTCCATCAGAAAGAGTTATTTGAAAAGTCTTTCAATGCCACCTTCATAGCCTTAATACCAAAGAAAGTTGGAGCTGAGGAGCTTAAGGATTTCAGACCTATCAGTCTAATAGGAAGTGTCTACAAGATACTTTCCAAGCTTATTACTGAAAGGTTGAAGTCAGTTATGGGGAATTAGTAAATGAACACCAAAATGGCTTTTCTAAAAGGCAGGCAGATTATGGATATGGCTCTCTTAGCAAATGAATTAGCGAATTCCAGAGAGAAACAAAAGTTTCCAGGGATCTTATGCAAACTTGACCTAGAGAAGGCATATGACCATGCTAATTGGAAGCTTCTACTTAAGGTGCTTGAAGACATGGGTTTTGGTAAAAAATGGATCAACTGGATATAAATGGCAATAATGAAGGCTTCTTTTCGTCCGAGAGGGGGTTGAGGCAGGGTGATCCTATATCACCTTTTTGTTTATCTTAGCTATGGAGGGGCTCAACCACATGATCAGGAGGGTAAGGGCAAATGGTTGGTTAAAGGGTTTCAAGCTCAGGTGCAAGGACATAGAGAAGATGAAAGGGGAGTCACACATCTGCTTTATGCAGATGACTCACTAATATTTTGTGAAGCTGAAGTATCTCAGATTAGACATATCTTCACTATTTTTGGAGGCATTTTTGGACTACATGTTAATTGGCAAAAGAGTTATCTTTAGCCAGTGAACAAAGTTGATAATATGGAGATATTAGCAAGTAATCTTGGATGCCAGGTAGCTACCTTACCTATAAAGTACCTAGGGATGCCCCTGGGTGCAAAGAACAAAGAGATGGAGGTCTAGAGAGATGTGACAGGAGATTGGCAAGATGGAAGAGCCAGTATTTGTCCTTAGGAGGGAGATTAACACTAGTCAAATCTGTGTTGGATTCCCTTCCTTCCTATATGATGAGCCTATTTCCTATACCAAAGAGTATTGTGAAGAGAATAAATTTGCTCAGAAAAACTTTTTTGTGGAATGGAAACAAGGAGCATAAAGGTTACAACCTTGTAAAATGGAATGTTGTAACACTTCACAAGAAGCAGGGGGGGATTAGGTATCAAGAAACTTAGCCTCCAAAACTCGTCTTTTGCAAAAATGGTTATGGAGGTCCTGTGCCGAGGATATGCCTTTATGGAAAAAAATCATCATTGAGAAATATGGACTTCAAAGTCACTGGATCACTGAAGATGTCCTTGGAACTTTTGGTTGTAGTGTCTGGAAGACTATTAGGAGACCCTGGCCCCAGTTTCAAAAAATTATTCAACTCAAGGTGGGTAATGGTGTGAAGATTGAGTTCTGGAATGAACTTTGGATAGGTGAAAGGAGCTTGAAATCTCTCTTCCATGATCTGTTCCTCCTCAGCCAACAGACTAGGGCCACTATAGCTCAGATGTGGAGCATACAAGGTTGGAATTTCAACTTCAGAAGGGCCCTAAATGATTGGGAGGTTCAAAGAGTTGCAGATTTTCTTATGGTGATAAATGATTTCTATGGAACTACCAATGCACCTGACAGACCAGTGTGGAAACTTCACAGCAAGGTGCGTTCACTGTGAAGTCATGCTATTGGAGGAGAAATACTGGCCAACTGCAGATTAGGAACTGGCCTTGGAAACTAGTCTGGAAAGCCAAAGTCCCCTTAAAAGTTTCTTGTTTCCTGTGGTTTGTGGTTAGTTTGCAGAAAAGCTTTTTTAACTCATGAAGTACTAGCCATCCATATTTGCTCAAGATGTTTTATGTGTGACCAGGATGCTGAAATAAATAGCCATCCATTTCTACACGGTAAAACAGCTGCAAATCTGTGGAACATGTTCTTGTGTATACTTGGAGTGAGTTGGGTGGTTCCCAAAACTACTAAAAGTATGATGGACTGTTGGAAAGAGATTGGAAGAAGAGAATCAGAAGAGGACTGGTGGGAATTGATACCTGCAAGCATCTGGTGGACATTGTGGAAGGAAAGGAATGCAAGAGGCTTGGAAGACAAAAGCAACAACATTCAAAAAATCAGAATGAATTGCCTTAGTCTTTTTTGTGTAAACAGGATATGGTGGGGGATATAGAACTTTTTGTTGATTTTATAGGGAAATTGTAAAGCTCCATAGACTAGTTCTTATGGCCTTCTATTTTTTACCCTATGGATGTAGGTGCTCACTCTTATCATTGTTTGGATGATGGAATTTTGTGAATACACAGTTACCTGTTCCTCAAAAAAATAGAGTTGTGAAAAAATATGCCTAAATTTTGGTGAACTATTTGAAGGAAAGATTGCATGAACTATTAGAGCAAGTTTGAATCTGTAATTATTATTAAGTATTAATGCATATCCTTACTCTTTTGGGTATAACATGGCTATTGCAAACAATAGTCTGTGATAGACTCCTTGAGTCATTAAACATTCAAGAGTGATGTTGACCAGTAAATATCTTTAAAGCACTTTCTAGTTGCTGACTGTTTAGTACAAATGGAAGTAATGGAAAGAATCTGAGTCGTGGACTTGTTCAAGACCTTGAAATCTTTCCAGGGCTTCAAAGAATCTGAGGATAGGTTGTGCTGGAAATCGGGAAGTGATGGAGTCTACACTGTCAAATCTGCATACAACTACCAGATTAGACAAAATGCACAATTTGACCAGTGGCCATGGAAATGGAAGTTCATCTGGAAGACTAAGGCCCCTTACAAAGTCTTATGTTTTTCTTGGCTTGTAGCAAGAGAAGCATGTCTCACTCAAGAAAACTTAAGAAGAAGGGGATTTCATCTATGCTGTAGATGTTGTATGTGTGGTGCAGCCGGAGAAAACAATAGCCATCTGTTTCTACATTGTCCTATAACTGGACAATTGTGGCAACTTTTTTTGAACTTGGTAGGACTAAGATGGTCTATGCCAGCAACAAGTTGTGAATTATTGAAGTGTTGGAACTATAATGGCGGTGCAGTGAGACAAGAAGTGGTGGGAACTTGTCCCAGCTTGTATATGGTGGACAATTAGGAAAGAGAGGAACTACAGAATTTTTGAAGACAAAAGCAATCCTGCAGAAAATCAAGATGAATTGTATTCTTTTTGTTCCTTTTTTGGTGTAAAGAAAACTATGTAGAGGAGACTGAATCACTAGTTGATATGATAGGTTCCTTGTGAAGCTGTAGGGACTACAGCATGGTTGGGTTTTTGTAATTGTAGATAGCACTGTCATGGTGCAGATCTAATGCATATATATTTATATATAATATATATATATATATACACACACATGTTACCAGTCTAAAAAAAAGAAGTGCAAATATCTTTTAACAATAAAAAAAACATATGCCTAAAGTATATTTCAACCTACCTTTTGTTTTGATTTCAGAAATCATTTTATCAGTCTCAAATTTCTCTACTGAATATTAAACATGGCTATTGCAAACAATATTAAGTCCGTGATATACTTCTTGAGTCATTAAACGTTCAAGAGTGATGTTGACCAGTAAATATCTTTAAAGCACTTTCTAGTTGCTGACTGTTTAGTACAAATATCTTTTAACGATAAAAAAACCATATGCCTAAAGTATATTTCAACCTATCTTTTGTTTTGATTTCAGAAATCATTGTATCACTCTCAAATTTCTCTACTGATTATGGCCAAAGTACCAAAAATCATTTTACCCGATCCAAAATGGATCCCACACTCACGTTGTGTTGTCACGAGTGCGACGCAAAAAGTGAAGAGTTTGAGAAACCTACATAAAATCATAGACTAAATGGATTTGATTAATTGTAACTTTTTATCACAACTGCGTGCATATATGTTATATATCGTTCAACCCTATGAGCAAAATGCAACAAGAAAAGCAAGGAAAACCGAATGGACCAATCCCGTCATCACAACCCCATAGGAATTACGAGATCACCCCAAAGGGCAACTTCAGCATGGAGGGGTCACAAACCAACCATAGAACCCTGTGGAACGTATTAGTTGTCCGCTCTTAGGATTAATTTGACCTCACTTTAAAATTAGAAGCTAAAGAATATATTAACCAAGAAAGAGAAGCTAAAGAATATATTAACCAAGGAAGCGATACATAAGAACACTATAATTGGGAAAACTAATTTAGAGAAAAAAGCTAAAGCGTAGTCCAAGTTATTAGCTTCATATGTAACAACTTTGACCTAACTCTAACATTAGCTCCAAGCATGCCCCTTAACAATTGAAATGGTCTAAATATACCCTTAGGCAATTAAAAAGGTCCAAACACACCCTGATGTCGCTTACCCCATTGGTGCGGGGGACATATTTGGACCTTTTTAATTATTCAGGGATATACTACTATAATTGAACAATAAGATAATGGTAGGGATATTTTTGGTCCAATAGGTTAACGGGCTGCATTTTTAAACCAATCCAATAGGTCAGAGGCAGTTTGTCCATTTTCCATTTTGTAAATGATGTTGAACTAGTGATAGAACTCATACCTTCCAAGAATAGGAAGGGATATTCTGTTTGTATGTTGTAAATACTTTACCAGCACTCCCTTGTTGACATTTACCATTTAAGTCCCTAATCCCAATTTAGTTGGGACCCACCGAATGAATTCTCTTCTATTTTTTACAGTATAGATGATGATTAAAATTTTCTAATCTTTGAATCTGTTAAACTTGTCTTCTCTTAAAAACTAAAATGTCATCATTTTTTTATATTTGTTCCCTTTAGATAATCTTCAAAAATTTTGATAGGCTAGGTGTCATTGAGAATCTTCACCTTGAAAGATAGTTCAGTATTGTGTGCATAGACAAGAGAGAGATGAGGAAAAACAAAATGCTGATGAAATGTACGAGATGACAAACCTGTTCAAGTGTATGTTGAGCCAGATCGGTTGTTGATATCATTACTCCGGCAGCAAAAGAACCCAGCTCAAGACTCAATCCTAGTTTATCACTACACTGAGATGCAATAGTACATTTAATCCACAAGTAAGCCATTTCTAGGAGATAGTAAGAGGTTAAAAGGTTGAGAACCATGCATTTTCTATTCACAGATATGAAAAGGAGACAAACCCAAGCAACAAGCAAGCAGAAAGCTACAGATGCAAGTTGATACAGTTCATTAGTCTGCAAAAAGTTCAGTAAATCACAGTCAAACATAGAAACAGCTGTGACATAAAGATGTTTTATTTCAAGAGATGCAAAGTTACCTGTGAAGATAGGCCTATCATTAACCTAAGAAACCAAGGTACACAGGTGCGACATAATACTGACAAAATGGTCAAGAATATGACCAGAACAACCAATCTGCAATGAAAGGAATAGTAGCAGTCAGGGGCAAGATTGACATTTAACTGTTTAATCCAGTCAATAGCATACAAGAATAAAAAGAAGATCAGGAAATGTGCTCTTTGGATTTTGTTGTGCTGCAGCGGAACTAATAGACAGAACTGGACTTTAGATGTATGGAAAGGAAAGATGGAATGTGCCCTGTAATACATATGTTGTGGGTATGAGATATACGTCCTAAGAGCTTACAGAGACATGCCACCCTGAACCAAAATGACTCAACAGCTGATTTTTATTGGTTTCGCACAAATCCAAAAGGTCAGTAAAGTAGTAGTTGGTCTAAGCTAGTGTGTTTTCACACTTAAGGTGTCAAACTAATACGAAGTAGTGCAATTTCACCTCTCAGCTTTGGACCGTCTTTTTAAACATGCAGGGACTTAGCTGGTCAATGCCGAAGTCTACATTGGTCAATGCGGTCCATTTGGAAGGAAGGAAATGCAAGAATTTGTTCGAGCAAAAAGAATCTATAATCACAATGAAGTAAATATGCATCTCTTTATTTCTTTTTGGTGCAACATGGATTTAGTTAAAGATGTGGAAACAATGATTTTTTGAGCTTATTATACAACTTGTGATGCAGCTATACTGTAAGACTATGACAAATTTTTTAACATATCACACAAGTAATGATGAAGATATATGATACATACCTCCCAGCACATACTTTGTTGCTGGAAATAAATAAAACTACCTTTTACTGATAAAAGCAATTTTGCTTGGCATCATAATTTCCAGATAAACCACCCTATATATCATAATCTCACCTCCAAGAAAAGACAATTCAAACAACATATGGCATATGGAGACACAAAAAAATATTTAATGCATGTAACAGCATAGTTGCTTCACATAGATTTGAGTCTATATTCCGAATTCAGAAATCATTCAATAATCACTGCTTACAATTTTGCCATGGAAAACATTCCTTGAAGTGCACCAGAAGTACCGCCAAGAATAGGAAGCAGTGCAAATAGCAAACCAACAGTGCAATCCTGGAAGCCACAGACATCTCAAAAAATTAATCAGGGAAGGACTCTTAAGAAGAAGAATAAGATAAATCTGATGAATAGAATTTCTTTTTTGGTATAACATATCCATGTGAAAGATAGCACTGAACCAATATTTTGTCAAAGATATAGCTATATTTACAAAAGAGAAGGACAGCTGGGACAGACCTGCAGAATAAGAGTTCCAATAGTGACTTGCCCATAGAGGGTGTTAACACTATTTCTTTCCATCAAAAATTTCAACACCTGTTATTCATAAAAAGATCTTCAATACATTTATAAGAAGCTTTACTAAATTATAGCATAATGTGCCTTTGCAACATTACAGTCCATAACATCTAATTAGGGGAGATTCAACATTCAAAATGCATTCCCTTCCTCTGTTTTCCAATTTTCCCTATTCAGTAATTAGAAGTTATGACAGCTAACGTGTCGTGAGAGAAAATCTGTAACAGGTGCAGGTCAGCGAATCCCGAAACAATTTTGCAGTTACTCTTATCAAATTTCTTGGTTCTTTAATACATCAAATCATATTTCTTAGCAGCAAGTAAAGCACAAAACTGATACAGGCAGAAACAAAATGCCTATGCATCATGCATTGTGATAATATTCAAATTGAAGTGAATCCCACTCCACATCTTATTAATACACTTTATTCTATCAGTACATCTTTCTACAATACACCACTTTTCAGATTATTCAGAAAACTTTTCCTATGATGGCGAGGTTACTTCCTATCTAAAAACACTCAATAGAGGTCCTAACATTTTGTAAAAGTAACTGATATTGGGTATTGAGCCCAAAATAGAAAGTGATTCATGCATGCTTGGTAGAAATTTTTATTCTCCTTTCCTTAATTATACCTTTATAAATTTAAATATCAACTGAATTTTTTTCCATTTTCCTCTAGGAACAGGAAACTTCCATTATTTGGGATAGCTATTCTCAGTTCTCACCCCTGACATGAAATTGAATAAAAGCTAGTGACAAAATACTTGATGGTACAATGAATTGGATTGGAAAGATAAATTCAATAACAACATCGACTTGCCACTGCTGTCGAAGACATTGATAAGAAAACGCCGACAAAAACACCTTCAGATGCTTCCCCACCGCATAACTGCAAGTATCATTGGTTCATGGTTACAAGTAAGTTGAAGGAACTATATAATAGAGATGCGCAATTTTGCATAATTGGCGTTTCAAACATTAGACCAACAATTCATAAATGCAAATTCTCAGAGCTGAACTACATGTCGAAAAGGTAGCTCCAAAAAAAGGCGATAATAGAAATTCCATACCGAGGCTGTTATACCAGACAAACACATAAAGAGAAATATTTGGAGTAACCCTCCTAGCACCGCAACAGCTCGAACAATGCGAAGCTGCAGTTACAAATTAAAAATACATACCTACTTTCACTCAGTGAGATAAAGTACAAAATTTTCTTAATTTAGAAAAGCAAAAGCAAACCTTCGCCGTGGAGAACTCCAAACCCAATGCAAACAGAAGAAAAATAACGCCAAACTGAGCAACTGTTTCCACCTGAATGATGTAACCACTGGAAATTAGGAAACACAAACATAGAAAACCTAAGTAGAATATCCCGTTAGACCATTAGCACAACATTCCATTGTGGGAGTCCAAAAGACAACTTAACCAACATAAAACCATAAGCACAAAAATCTATCAGGAGGTTATAGACTGTTGCCATAATGCAGTTTTGTACAGAAATTCAATTTCCAGGAAGTGGTAATGGTAAGATGGCAATTAAGCAGCTCTCCAAATATATAAATTTGCATCTCAAAACTCTGAAAATGTATGCAACAAGTCATTAGACCTCTTACATTACAAACTGCTAAAGTCAATATAGTAGGGGTAACATGTTCAAGTCCATACAATTCAGTGAGGGGATAAGTGCAATAATTGAGTGGACCTGCAACAGACCTGAAAGACTAACTATTCTTTGGGAAAAAAGGACTAACATCTAAAGATAACTTTTTACCCCAAAATAATGAGGAACTTTCAAGTAAAAAGAGCAAGCAAACCATCCTTCATGTGGTGGCAGTTAAACATGGGCTATGTGGATCCTATAAGCCATAAGACCAACATCAAGAATAAACATAATTTTGTTTTCTATTGACTGGGATGAATAGTTCAGGTATATTTGACAATTTATCATGCTTAAAGACTCTCAGATCATTTTCCTTCAAAGGACACTGGGAACAAAGGTAGTCCCACTTTGTTACGAGAATATGCAGCTGAAACCAATGGTTTTGTAGATATGGTCAAGGTTTGCTGCAGTCTTATGATGCAAGAGGAAGGTTGTTAGACAGTTCATGTATCTATTATTATATTTAGTGTCCCACTCCTCAGGGACAGAGTTACCCTTGTCTGTGGGGTGTCAAGCGACACCCCTTCATCAGAAAATTACGTTGTATAGATAGGTCAAATTTTGATTTGATACTTATATATATTATTGTTGACACCTCTTGAAACAAGGTGAAGAGATAGTGCAACAGTTGAGCGGTTGCAAAAACTCTCAATTGTTGGCAGGTCAAGTGTTCGAACCTGGCTCAAGGTTTTTTTACTTCAGCGTTTCTTTTTTCATTTTTTTTTTGCGTGCTTACTACTTTATATTTTGAAACCCCTCAATAAAAATCTTGGCTCCGCCACTGCCGCTTCCACATCAAAAAAAATGTATTATGTACTGTGTAAAGTACAAGTATCAATAGGGCTCGGTGCAAGACAATAGTTGAGATGAATGATGAATCTTAATAATATTTTCTCTCGTGCCTTATTTCGCACATGGTAACAGAACAGTGGTGAGAAACACCCACGAAAGAGAACACAATCAGACAGTCACCGTGCCTCAAATTCCAGCGACTTTATAGGATTGTTTTGCATCACCTACTCTTCCTTCTGTGGTTGTGCGAAAACTAGCACTACCACAAGATATGTAATGGTCCGATACCTAATCCCAATCAGATTCTCTGGCAGCAGAGAAGCTAGGATTCTGGCTAGCAAGTAACTCGACACGCTGGTGCATGAGGTACTTTTTCGGCATCACGGAAGGTTCTTCTGAGGTGGCCCCTTGCCTCTTCCAACGCTACCCATAGGGATTTTGTGGAATAGCAATTGGTGGAACAGTGTTAAATCGGTGTTACAGTTGATTTCTCTGCCTTTCTTCACCGTTTCGTCCATTTCCTTGGCTTTTGTGTTACTTGGTGACCTTTTTTGCTGAATCTCTCTTCAATCCAACCATGCCTTTTAGATTTGATGTTTTTTAGGTAGGCATTAAGCTTGAATTCCTAATTCCCATGTGTTTTGTTCCATAAACAAATTCGAGACTGATGATTACTCATAATATTTAGCTCAAGCTTCCTTGGTAGAGTTGCAGTGCAAACGTCAAGCTATCTTCGATCACTTAACTAAAAAGGCACGAGCAAGTTGGGAGAAGGTTTGTATTCAATTATGTAATATCCTGTGGCAGACTATTGAATCCAAGTTAATGTGTTTGTTTTGTCGCAGACATGTTATTCAGTTTGGGAAAACACTTGTAGCTTAAACACTAATGACATATCTCATTTTTATAATGTGATTCCTCAAATGACTAACTTAATTAAAGAATTGAATATGTCTGCTTCTTCGCGACAGGTACAGCAAGTCAGGGAGGAATTTGAGAAGTTGAGAAGAGAGGCCACCTTCCAAGGTGATGCCATCCCTAGAATATTTGAAGAATAAATGAACTGGATAATTTCAAAAAAAATATATATACTAGTCATGGAGGTCTTTCACAGAGGAAGAGTTGGTGTCTCTTTAAAAGAATTCAGGCATAGAGCATATAGGCCTGACCCTGATGGGTTATCCATGACATTATATCGGAGGTGTTGGGGAGTTACTAAATCTGACTCAATTGTTCCATCAGTTTGCAAGCATAGAAAAATCTTCAATTCCTCATACATTGCCCGCATCCCCAGAGAAGAGAGAAGTAGAGTTTAAGGACTTCAGGCACATAAGCTACATGGGAAGTTTCTACTATAGTGTTGTTGAGTTGCTCACTATGGTCATGGGCAAGCTAACAACAACCACAGAGCTAACATTTACACAAGGAGGCAGAATATTAATGCACTAAAGCTTGCAGATGGAGTTCACAGGATGTTGAGAAAGCCATCAAGAGTATGTCGATGATGATCCCTGGTGTTATCTTTTGGTGTTTATGGACAGAGAGGAACAAAAGATGTTTTGATGGAATTTCAACTTCTAGAAATCTTTTGCGAGGCAGATGTCTAGTTAGCCTTTTTAGTTGGTCCAAACTGACCCCTGTAAATAATTTAGAACTCTTCTTGGATTTTGTTAGCTCTATAGCTTAGAAAGAGGCTACAAATCTTCTTTTTTTTGTGAGCTTAACTGATCTATCCTTGTAAAGCTTGCATCTTCTTGATGCCTTGAAATGAATCTACTTACTTCATCAAAAAAAACAAAAAAATTAAAGATTGCAGATGGGTTTTTCCTCAATGTCCATGAAAACTAGACATTGAAAAAACATTTGAACATGCTGATGGGGAAGTGTTGGCATTTGCTGATTATAGTAGTGCTGGTTTTTGTTGATTGATAACATCTTGGTAACTTAATGAATAAAAAGTATTTTACATGATAACATTATCTATATAAGTTACTTAAATGAATCAGAAAATCAACATACCTGCACCATTTCGCTGACAAAGTTAAAACCCCCAGGTCCAATTACAGATCCTGCTAGCAAATATCCTGTGAAAACCTGAAAGATATTAACAGGATAGGACTTACTTGTTTCTGGCAGGTAATGCATAAATTAAAATGTGTAAAAGCAGCCAAGTAGATATTATCAGCATCTAAATTAGCACTAGTGCAGAAGAAAAGGAAAGAGGTTGTCCAATTAGCAGTAGAAGCATGGGATGAGTTATCACACCGGTTGTCCAGCACAAGCAAAGGCAATCCCACCGCAAGTTGCAGAAACAATGACAACAACAAGATCGGATATCAATCTGCCCATTGATTTGCAATAAAATCAGATCACTTAATAATATAGCTCCTCTTAACATAATAGTCTTCCTTTTTCAATAAGTTCAAAATGACCAGGATGGACAGAGTTATAGCTAACCTTAAGTCTAGCTGCAGCACTGGAAACTTCGACTTGCGATTAGACATGATGAAGACATTATCCTAATGAAGGAGCAGGAGGGAAGCTACCAGTTAGTAAATCATGGTCAGGAATCCATAATCATCTCTCACTACTACCAATGCTCCTGTGCGGCCTATTACCAGACCCAATTCTTTCTAGATGCAATAGGTACCTTTCGATCTATCAAGGTAGGTGTATCTTCAGCTCCATTGTCATTCTCCAAGTGGAAAACATCATGCAACTGGAATGACCTAATATAAACCAGTAATACAAACAATTTTCAGTCTTTTAATTTCCAATAACATGGAGACCACTGAAAGTAGCTAGCATGTGTCAAATATTAGATTAACCTTACTTTTCCTCCTTTGTCTCATTCTTCTTGGGCTTGACCCTTGCAACAGTTTCCAAAACTGCCTGAGAAATGAAGCATTTCAAGAAATGTTTAGTTGCACTAAATAATTCCTCTCTTCACTTTTACTTGTCCACTATTCCAAAAATATATTTTCACTTTTACTTGTTACTTTTAACATATCAAGAAAAGACAAATTATTTTTTTCCTATTTTACCCTCAACATTACGTATTCCCCAAATCATTTCCCAGGACCTAAGATCAATTAATATGGGTATTATGGTAAAATACTCATATTAATTATTGTTTCTAAAGGGGCGTGCAAAGTCTAACGTAGACAAGTAAAAGTGAATGGAGGTAGTACATCAGATTTGGAATCAGGTCACAGTTATTTCCAAACGTGTTGCACAACCATCTAGAAAGCAATTGATATTGATACAGTTTTCTTCCTTAACTCAATTAGTAGGACCCCTAGAGTCCACTCCTTCCCCACACTACGAGTGAAAGGAAAAAGTACGACTACCATTAAAGTAGCCCAAGCAAGACTAACTATATCCATATGAACTATGTCCCCAATCTCTCTATATATAATGGAATTGTTCCATGATTCCTCACTAATAATAGTGGAATCAATGGCGCAGAGTCAAAAAGAACGGCAATGGGAAGACACATCCAAAGATTTTTCTCCAACATTTATTATTCAAATTGCAAGCTACATGGTAAGCAAAAAATAGAGCCTTAAGCTAAGGAATAGTGCATCATTTAAAACAATCTACTAGCTGAATAATTCAATAAAACATCCAAGTTACTAATAATGAGAATCTCTTGTTACCATAGCAGCCATATGTTAATCTGTATCTAGCTCTCAGGAATAAGAACAGCCAATAAATTCCAATATCAAAATTCTTATTTCATAAATTGATAAACAACATAATAGCACTTCATTCTTTTTACTTTCCAAAGACAGTCAATGTTTAATTAGCTATTCTTGTCAATTGCAGATTAACATCTCTCCCCTTGTCATGTGTTATTGAAAATGGAAATATCAATATCAAAAGAGCAACACGCTATATCTTATCATCAGGACCTACACATAAACAGACAGTAAATATCACAATACCATTTAGCTCAGAAAAGCAAGCTACTTCATTTTCATCAAAATTGTGTTATGCCTATTTTGAACTACAAGCATCACCGTTATCATGCATCACAACTTGGTTAATCGGAGTACAGGGATTAAGTTTCAGTCCAAATATGAGCAGAACAGCCACTGAACCTCACATCGTAACACTAACACCAACCTTTATCTCCTTTGAGTAAGAGAAGCTCAACCGGTTGGTAATAAAAGATTCATCAACACATAACAGTAGCTAATTGACCAAGGGAGCAAAACAAAACTTGCAGTATAAGAACAGCCATCAGAACTAGAATGTACTTCGTCAGAGAAGATGTTCCAAATGGCAGAGCCGAAAACTCATCCTTGAATAATAGTTCTTTAAATAGTTCCCATTTATAGCTAAATACTCTAGTGGATAAATATATAAATAACAACCCTCAAACAAGCCAACTAAAGCTACAGATCAGCAATCAGACTACAAATACCCTATCCAAGCGCTATTTCAAGGAACAGATAAGAGAAGAACTATGGCAATACCTTCTTCCAACTAAAATTTCAGTAAATTTTTTAAGTTCAGAAGTAATTGGGCGCCAAATTATTTTCACAATTAGTCTATTTCAGACAACTCGAAGGAACTAGGGACAAACCTCTTGCTCCGCCACGCTATTGTTGAAGCTTCTGTGATCAGTTACTGAAATGAAAAATAAATAAGTAAGTGTATCAAGAAAGACCAGATACGAGTGTTACTGAAGCCTAAATCACAATCAAAACCTTCTTCATCACTAGTAATAGAGGTAAGTAAGTATATCAGAGGATAAACAAGCAAATCAAGAAACAGAAAGCGTATATGTAACAAGACTTTCAGTAATTCTACTGAAATTGTTTTCTATAATCAGAATAGTGTGAAATAGCTACTCTAAAAACATGCAATTTTAGCCCGGCATTGCATATTTTGATCGATTTAAGAAAGGCAAAGTCGAATTTGAACTAACCATCTGTCTTGTCGTCAGTCTCGTTGAACTCCTTTTCGAGAGCTTTATCGATCATGGTAGCGAAGGTAGATCTAGACGAGTTGAACTCAGAAGCATTTAGGACATCGTTTACATCTTCAGGCTTCACAGCAGGATCAGGATCAACATCAGAGAGGACGCATTGTAAGGAGAAAGAGAGAATGAGGAGAACGAAGATCACTTGCATTTGCATTTTTTTGTTAGAGAGAGAAAACTCTGATGAGGGTTTTAGAGAGAGAAGGAGGGTTGTATCGTATCGTATCGTAAGTAGAGAAAAGGAAAAGGGTGCAGTGAGTAGCAACCGATTGAAGTAAACTAACCGATTGAGAGAGAAAAAGCAGAGCCTCGGGCACCGGGAGAAGTTGAGTGAAAGTACAAAAAAGTCCTCCTTCATATTCGCTTCTTGTGATTTCCATCAGGTGTTTCGACACACCAAATCTCCCTAATCGTCAAACCTTAGTCACATCTTTAATTATTTTCACCATTTTGTGTTTACGTGATCCCAAAGCGAACCAAATCGTTAGCAAAGAAAAGGGGGAAAAAAGGGCAAACTATTGTAACTAGTATACGTATTCGTGTATTGTGCGAATAAATTAAAATATAATTATTTTTTAATTTAAAAATAAATAATATAAATTATTATTGAGTAACAAAAGTGCATGTATAATTATATATGATATTTTAATTTTATATTAATATTTGATGCTAATAGAATTTTATCATAATATATGTACATGGTATGTTCTTTCAAGAAACAAAACATTATTATAACAACCTATACTTCTCCTAGTATAATGAAAATTAATAGCTTATATGGCGTGTGTTGAAAACTATCAATGGCAGATATACACCATAAAAATGAAAAAATGAGTGGCTTTTTCCTTCCGCCCACGACCCTTTTTTTTTTTTTTTTTTTTTAAACTGATTTTGTATTTCTAATTTTCTTCATATCTTATATTAGAAACAAATAGCTAACTAATAAAAATGTAAACGTTAAAGCCACATTAATAGGTAACGGCGATTTGCAAAGAAATTTTAGGAAAAGATCTAAATCATGTAATTTTAAAATAATTACATATTTTTTAAAATAATATATAATAGATGTCAATTAATAAAAATAAGTACTCTAATTAGAATAAAAATAAGAGTCCAAAAATACTTAAACATTAGCCACATGTTTTATTATTTATTTTTATAAAAATAAAAAAGAGTTATATCAAATATGGTAACTTTCTAATTTTTAAAAGAATACATTTAGCAAATATATAGATTTTTTGAAAATTTAAATTTTAAATACCAACTAATACAAATTTAGATTGTTTAAAATATTAGTTTTAAATAATTTAACAAAAACTTACATTTTTGGATATTGATTTGGATAAAAACTATTTTTTATATAAATAAAGTCAAAAAGGGTGACCAAAGAAAGAGTTAAGTAATTTTTTATTTTTTTTATTTTTGTAAAACCATGTTTTTGTAAAGTCTTTACACTTTTAATAATTATTTCAGATTTTAAATTGCTTTTAATAATTAATAAATTTTGTAATTTTTTTTTTTTGCAGATTATGTGTTTTTAAAAAAGTTACAATCATAAGTGCACAATAATAGTAAAAAAAACGGGTGGCTTTTTTCTTGCACCCACATCCCTTTTTCTTTTTATTTTTAAAATATTTTTCTTTAAAAAATCTCTTCATATCTATATATTTGAAACAAATAGCTAATAAAAAATGATTAAATGTTAAAGTCACATTAATCAGTAAATGCAATTTGCAGTAAAAATTTAGGAAAAGGTCTAAATTATGTAATTTTAAAATTATTATATATTTTTTAGATAATTAAATAGATGTCAATCAATAAAGATTATTCTTATATTATTAGATATAAATAAGAGTCTAAAAACACTTAAACATTAGCCACATGTTCTATCCAATGTGGATTGTAGAATTTGCGGTAGTTCTATAAATAATTAAACTAATAAGTCAATAAGAATTATATTTTTTTATCTATGGCAAATAAAATACTAAATAGGGTTTGTGAATGTTTGTTCCCATAATAATGGATTAAAGACATTAAATAGAAAAAGTAAAATGGAGATATGAATAAATCATAGATAAAGATTTAAAAGATTGAGATTCAAATTCAAATAGATAATCTTATGTAAAATTATAGTTATTGGCTAGAAAAAGTAACAACTTAAAGATACTTCTTCTTAAAAAGTATTTTGTACGAAAAAAAATGATCATGATCTCTTAAGACTATATAATCTATATAACGAATGCACAATCTAATACTAATTTAAAAAGGGGTGGGAAAACACTAATATGTTCTCCTTTTTAAATTAAGTTTTTTCTTTTACACTTGAGAAGAGTGAAAGCACAGAAAACAAAAATAGAGAAACTTTTTTTCTTTTTTGAGAACATCAACAAACAATTAGAGATTTAGTTTGTGAATCATAAACTTTGATTCCTTGAGACTCAAAGTCGGATTTGGAGCAACTATTTCACAAGATTCAATTATTAATCTGACAATTTTTTCCCTGTTACCTAAATTATTACATCGGTATCAGAGTCATGGATGTTTGTTCTTTCATTTTGAATATTGTTTCTTGTAGTTGGTCACTATCGATATTTGTTAACAATTGTCATATTCTAAAAAAAAAACTTGAAATAAAGGATAGAGTACATGTTACTCACTTGTTACAAAGCATATTTGAACCCACTATTGTGCTTTTGATTTTGAATAAAAAATGGTGTTTGAGCAGTGTGTATTTGGATTTTTTTTCTCTCACACAGAAGTAGAATTCATAGATATTGATGATTCGATGTTTTTATCGTTCATCTTTATTGAGATTATGGATCGAAAGAATTTTTAAGGAAGATGAGTAAAGTTTTCTGAAATATTTTTTTTAGGAATATGGTGAAGCGTATTTCAATACCGAGAGAAAGTGAGGCAAGATTTTTCTTAGATAAAAGATTATGTTGGCATGTCCTTTCTTATTTATAAGGGAAAAGGGTTAAAAATACCCATCAACTTTGCTTTATTGATTGACTTTACACTTACTGTTAAAATGAAGTTATTTATACCCTCACCGTTAGCAAACTTGTCATTTATACCCTCCAAATTAACGGTTACCTTAAATCGACCCCAAATCCCCAATTTCAATTTAAATTACCCATTTAAAATTGATTCTCTCTTTTAATTTGGACCCGACCCACTAAACCAAATAACATTGGTGAAACTTTAAATTTTCTTCCCCATTGTTGTCAAAAATAGAGATTTTGCACACTAATGTACAACTCAATGTACATAAACCAACAAAAATGAAAAAGCACCATTAGAGGAAATGGAAAGCTATTGTCATGGAACAAATCGTTTTTGCATAGACGATAATAAATGAGAAAACACCATTAGAGTATTTAGTGATGTTTCCTTGTACTCCGACAACCTTTGAGCGATCCAATGATGACAAATACAACTAAAAAACTTAATTGCAGATTTAGTGACAAATACAATTGAAGAACTTATTGGAGATTCACATCTTCTCCTGGCAAGATGACAATAAAAAAGCAAGAGGCCAAAACCCTTCTGCCTCACTGTTCCACCCCATTTTCTTCCACACTAAATTTTCTTCCATATTTCCTGCTTTCAATCTTTCAATTTTTTGCCATTGATTTGAACCAAAACCCACCAATATTTCAATTTTTTTTATCTCAAAAAACCATGTTGGTAATCGGCAGGAGGCAACATCCGTTCAAATCAATTTGTGTCGGTTCGTTGGAATCAGAGGAAGAGTAAGAAGAACCAAACGTGCACCAGTTCGTCGGAATCAAAGGAAAATTAATAAAGAAAAGAAAGAGGACGAAGAGAGTTATCCTTATATTGCTTGAGACGATTATGGATCTTTTTGATGGAGCAAGAAGAAGTCATTGTTCAAGTTGTTGAGAGAGAAAGAGAAGAGATGGATTTGTTGTTATTTGTTTAGTATAATGGGTCGGGTCGGGTTGGGTTTGGGTAATAGATAATTGGACAATTTTAATTGAAATTGGGTCGATTTTGATTGATTTGGGGATTTTCGTCTAAATAAGGGTACATATGACAAGTTTGCTAACAGTGAGGGTATAAATAACTTCATTTTAACGATAAGGGTAAAGTCAACCAATAAATCAAAGTTGAGGGGTATTTTTTACCCTTTTCCCTATTATAATGGAAAAAAAAAGGTATGAGATTTTGTTATTTTTTGGTCTTGTAAAAGGGCCTTTTATTTTTTTCTCAAAAGAAGTTCCTTAAAAAGAGAATTGTATTTGTAAAAGGACTTGTTAAGTTCGTAGGATAAAAAAGAAGAAGGACTTGTGAAAGTACTTTTCATGCTTTTCTTCTTTGAAAAGATGTTGATGTTTTTTATTTATTTTTAATAATGACAAAATAAAGTACCTTTTAGATTGGTTATTGAAAAGAGCATCTAGTGCTTTATATTACATATTATATATTTATATAAATGAAAGACTTGTCACTAGGGGTGTTCACGGGTCGGTTTGTATCGGTTATTGGTCAAAACCAAAACCAAACCACCTTAATCGGTTTTAAAATTATCAAAATCAAACCAAACCAAATATAATATAATATACATTTATCGGTTTGGTGGTTATCGATTTCGGTTTGGTTTGGTTCGGTTATTCGGTCATTAACCATACACAAAATTAAAAGAAACAATTCATTCAAAATGTGAAAAAGGTGACAACAATCCATTCAAAATGAAAAATAGTTAGAATGACTTAGATTACTGAATTTTCGATCACTAAATTTACTATCAATAAAGCTTTAAAATTCACTATATTGGCCTAGAAGGAAGAGAAAATAACATTTTTAGTCCCACAAAGAATTGTCATAGACACTCATATACATGAAATCAATAAGATAAATGTTTCATCTTGGACATTTTTGCTTTCAATAAGTAAATTATAAAGAAATTTTAATAAAAATATGTATAAGATCTTAAAAACTGTTTATAAAAACAATATATTAAGTATGTATATTAATAAAATATATGTATATAATTCATCGGTTCGGTTATTTCTTCGATTTTTTCTAATAAAACCAAAACCAAACCAAACCAAACCCAAATAAAATCGGTTTTATTTTATCGGTTTGGTTCAGTTTTTTGATTTGGATCGATTTTAATCCAAACCATGAACACCCCCTACTTGTCAC